AGTGTATTAATATGCCAACTTGAAAAGATTTAGTTTAATTTTCAATTTAGGAAACTTTATTCGATACTAGAGCTAACAGTTTTGCTATGGAGCCATCGGATGGCTCGGCTTATGGAGCCATCCACACTTATTCACCAATAGTGTATTGACACGTGTCCTACAATAAATACACTTTGGACATGTGTCAATACATTAAGTGGTGGATGGCTCCATAAGAAAACCATCTGATGGCTCCATAGAATTTTTGCTAGAGCTAAAATCTAAAAGTAACTCGCAGTATTTGTAAAAAAAAAAAAAATGATTTATACTAGTAGAATATTAAGTGAGTGTTTGTTAGTAAAAAGTGTATCCTTAATTTTATTAAAGAGAAGTTTTATTTTAACTTTCCAATGCTCTTAATATACTTGCATCATTATTATATATTTTCTTATAATTTATTATATTATGAACTTCATAGATATATTTATTTAATTAATAAATGATTTTATAATTTTGAGTTAGTATTGATAGATAATTTTAGGTTCAGGTAAATAATTATATATATGCAATATAGATGTCAAATCAAATTTCGTCAAAAGATTATTAATTTGATACAATATATGAAAACTTGTAAGAAATATGAAATTTATTACTTTCCAATATAACTATAACTGAAGTTTGTCAAGTGTTTTATATTTTTAAATATTTGAATTTATATCTTTATCAACTACCCCAACTATATGATTGTGAAATACCATAATATGAGAAACTACATTATATATAGGGAGAAATTTTTCATGATATATAATTCACAGTATATATTATATATAATATAATAATGAATATGATCAAATATAAAAATTATCTAAATTATGATTTATTCCTAATTACTATATTAATGGTAACACGTTTGTTATTTTCAAATTTTAGTAATTAATATATGTTTCATTTATATTAATTAAAATCTATTTTATCATACTTTTAAAATAAATAAAAATGCATAAAAACTATCGTATTTAAATACTATCTAAATTTCTACTACTATATCAATTTAAGTGTGACTAACTTCACAACGATTTATTCTACTTGATCAATATTATGAATAAAGATGGTAGTGCCTAAAACCTACATCTACCCTCAAATTTTAGAATAGTGAAAGTTTGATATTTAAATTCACATTTGTAATGTAAGGTAATGATTTGTAATCACACAACTTTCAAAACATACGATGGGCATATAAAAGTTAAAACACTTGATATGCAAATCATGGGATATCGAAAGTTAGACATCATGGCTACAGTGGTTACGGAGTAATAGATTGACTTTGATAAAGCATTATTGAGAGCCCACCTTAATAAATCACCTTCGAACGAACTTTTTAGTAAAAAATTGTCATAATATGCAGTTACTGATCTTGCTAAGCAAAGAGAACCTAGCAGTAAAAATCATGTCATAAATACAATTCACAGCCCGATACCCCTCTTCCCTCCAATCATTCTCCAATTGTTCTTGTTCGTGCCTTCGGTATTATTTTTCTGCAATTGTTCGTTTTCTGTGTCTGAAATCCACACTCACTGGTGTGCCGGCGGGCGAGAAGGAAGTGGAAGAGTAGAAGAAAACAATTCCTCTGCTTTTACGGAACTGTTTTCTTGAATTTGTGCGTTGGCGTTTCTTGTAATTTCATTTCCTCCCCTTTTGACCTCTCTTTTCACCCAAGCCCATACATTTTTTAATTTTATTCTTTAAATTACCCCTCTTACATCTTCGGTTTTTGCAATTATCAGTCTTCTTAGGTGTTTTGTTTCTCTTCTCTCCCTATTTCTGTTTATGTTTGTCTTGGATTTTGTCTTTTTTTCTGATGGTTTGAGATGGGTTCTGTTCAGAACTTGGTAAAATTCTCATATTTCCCCCCTGTTTTTTAGGTTAAAAGTTGTGATCTTTCTGGTAGAGTACTCAAGTTTTGATCTTTCTTTAATTGTGATGTTGTCGAAAGCCCTCAATTTCAAGTGGCTTGCATGAAGTTCTGAGTTTTATGATTTGGGAATTTCTGACATTTTTGGTCGGTTTGTTTGTTTGGAACCTCGGACATGGGTTGACCAAAATTTGTGCTAAAACAAGTTGGGTTATTCGTGTATTGTTTTAATTGGTCGCACACGATTCACTCCCAAGTTAATTGCACTCTCCTTGAGCTGATATTTGATACATGCAGTACCAGATTCCTGTGTGCGTCATCCAAATTAACAATGCTTTACCTTTAAATTGAGTATTTTATTGTTTTCACCCTCCCTTTTTCAATCACATGTTTATATGTGATGCTTGTGAGCTGTTTCTGTATCGATGTGGCTTTGAAGTGCGCAATTAGTTTGCTTTGCTGCTTAATGTCTTCTTGTTGATCGACTTATTTGAGCTGGTTAAAAAAATTTCATTTCTCTTGCTTCTATATTGTTCTGTGGACTGCAATGGGTCGAGCTGGCTGGATCTATTAATTTTGCAAATGAGTGTGCTAGTTTATGCATTTCTTTTGCTCTAACTAGATGTTGCTTAAGCATAATATTTTTTTTTGATATGACAGCCAACATCCATTTTGTTCTTCAACTTGCAAATTCAACTCAAATGATGCTCAGTTTCCATGAATATTTCTGCAGGTAGTGATTTAAATGGAGAAACCATCAAAAAATACATTCACTGGTAAGTCTAAAGAGCTGTCCTTCACCTTATAAACAAGTTATATACTGTTTGAATGCACATACTATGTGACACTGAACTAAAGATAGTACATTTTACTGTATCCCAATACTCCATTGTTTGAATTTGGTGTTTTTAGTTGCAGAGAAAGAGAAAGCTGCATGGAGGCTTCCCAGGGGAACTGGTGCATATCACACATCGAGCGATGCTAGCTTGTTTTCTACCTCGCTTCCTGTCCTTACACATGCTAAATGTGCGCACGACTAATTAAGCGTCTTAATGTTGTTATTATGACCTTCAATGACTTTTGACATGATCACTTAGCTTGTCTATGCCAATTTGCAGTTAATTTTGGTGATCCTGATCAAGGTGGTCAGCAGCTTGATGATGACTTCCCTATTCTCAGTAAGGTTCGTCTAGAAGCTAAAGTGAAGGACCGATTAGAAGAAAATAAGCCACGTACTGTAGAAAACTTTCTTCCGGATGATGAAAACGAACTTTTAGCTGGTCTTATGGATGATTTTGATCTTAGTGGGTTGCCTACTCAACTTGAGGACTTGGATGATGATTTCTTTGGAAGTGGAGGTCTTGAAATAGAACCTGAGAGTCATGATAGTCTAGTCGATGGTATATCAAGATTAAGTACATTGGATGGTATTAGTGGAGTCAGTATATCTCATTATGGTTTCACGAATGGTGCTGGAGCTGTTAGCGGTGAACATCCTTATGGAGAGCACCCTTCAAGGACATTATTTGTTCGAAATATCAACAGTAATGTAGAGGATTCTGAACTAAGGGCTCTATTTGAGGTAATCTTAACCAGATTCTTTTATTTGGGCATGAAGGCATTTATAGTCTTTCTGTAGGTACTCATTCTCATCTACTCCTGCTTTTGATTGCTAGATCAGTATGCTGAGTGTATTTTACTCGCTGTGGTGTGTTCGTGAGGTTGTTCTGATGGAGAATGCAATTTTTAGGTGCATATTATGAGGACGTGCATATGCACTCATTCTTTTTGCAGCTGGTTGCTGTGCATAAACTTGTGGTTGTTGAATTTTCCTTTCTCCTGTTGAATGAAGATGTTGTGAAGGGATACAAAGTATTTGCAAATTGCAATATGAGTAAAATGTATAGACGATCTGTATGAGGTTGGGGAGTAGGAACAAAAATCCAGGGAAGTTATTGTGGTCTATGTTTATCATTTAGTGAAGCAGCTAATTAAATATCCAGTTCCAGCCTCATGGTGTGTTTAATAATTTTTAAATTGTCAGAAATCAAAGAAGGTTCTTTTCTTTTTGTAGTTTTTCTTTAGGAATAATTACTATTATAAAATAATCTGATACATTTAATGCTTGAAGTTGCAAGTATAACCATATGTATTAAAAAATGAATAGTTGATGTGAAACTAGTGACTGATTAGGGATTTTGCTCGCAACATTAAGTGAATAGCTAAACCTATGCTTTAGTTAGAGTTCATCTAATTTGAGTTTAACGACATTCTATAATATGCTTGAAATGTTGGTTAACAGGTTCTTTCTTGTTTATGTTTTAACTACATATGATGCACATTTGTTTTCAAAGTTTGTTCAAAAATACTAACTCATTTATATACCTTCTCTCTTTTTTCTCTTTTCCTTCTAATAGCAATATGGAGATATCAGAACTCTTTATACTGCATGTAAACACAGGGGATTTGTGATGATATCTTACTACGACATAAGATCTGCCCGGACTGCTATGCGGGCATTACAAAGCAAACCTTTAAGAAGAAGAAAACTTGATATACATTTTTCTATTCCAAAGGTAGGAACCAAGATAATATACGTTTCTAGCACTGTATGTGGTGAATAGATGGCATCCTACTAACTGATGTTTCTTGCTCAATGCAGGATAACCCATCAGAAAAGGATATTAACCAAGGAACTTTGGTGGTGTTCAATTTGGATGCCTCGGTATCCAATGATGACCTTCGTCAGATATTTGGAGCTTACGGGGAAGTTAAAGAGGTAAAATTTAATCTTAGCGGTTGTTTTATTCTTTTAAAAGAGTCATTTGGGTTATGTTTATGTGATTTATCCAGATAAGGGAAACACCTCATAAACGACATCATAAGTTCATCGAATTTTATGATGTTAGAGCTGCAGAGGCAGCTCTCAAAGCCTTAAATAGAAGTGACATTGCTGGGAAGCGCATAAAGCTTGAACATAGCCGGCCTGGTGGAGCCCGTCGTAGGTAAGTTCTGCATTTATCCTTTTAGGTGTTTCTGTTCTCATGGCATTTCTATGATAATTGTTCAATGAGCCTCGATAGAACTCGTCCCTAAAAGGTTTCTCAATGGAATAGGGTTTCTCGACTCATGTTTATGCACAATTACAGCCCAATAATTTAGAGATGGGAGTCAAATACAACTGTTTACAGTCATGTTTCTAGTTTCTATAGAAGTTGTTACATTTTCTTACTAGTTTATTGCTGTTTGTATTTGTTCAGTTCATGTTCTGCTGGAGTCAAGGGTTTTGATTAAAAAAGTCAGAAATTGTAATTGTGAACCTGTGAAAGAAATAAAACATGTTAATTTTCTCAGGGAAAACTGAGCCCAGCAATCTGCTATATGAACATAAAGTTCTCCACAGAAAGTCGGCTGAAGTGTCCTCCAGAAAACAATAGAACTGACTTAAATAATACTCTAACCCTAAGTGCGTAAAGCCCAATTATTTTCTTATATTAAAAATAAATAAAATTGCAAGATCTTTTTGCTTCTTCTTCTGTAAACTTTGCATAATCAGTGTGTTATATTCTCAGGCTGAATGAGTAGCTTTTTTTTTCATTATTCTTTTTATTTTTTAAAGAAAAAAACTTCTACAACTTTCTAAGATTAGGGCTTTGTAGTGTGTTTATAAAGTCTTACGAGATGTTTGGAGGGTATAAGCCATACGGAATTTGTGGAGATGAACTTCACAAGTATTGATTACCTTGCCTCCTTATGCGTTGCTGCATCAGAGATTGAAATACTAGATATCCAAGATAACTTTAGCACATCAGGCGTTTCAAACTGCTGCTGGTATTTTGTGTTCTGTGAATATGGGCTTCGGATACTTGGAATCTTGAAAATATGTTTGGTCAAGGACATCGTGGACTTGGATTGGGACTTTTGAGTCCAAGTCCTAATCCAAACTCTCTAAGAGTTTCAATTTGGAACATTATCTATTCACTTACCCAATTTGATAGTTACAAAATGTGCAACATTATTTTATTTATGTATATAATTCAGGTATCAAGTTGTAGATATTGGAGAGAAGACTAACTTGGTATATTATCCATTTAACATAGATAAGAGATGATATCCCTATTCAAAGATTCGAGTGCAAAAAATTGACATGATTTAATTTGCTATTGTAGAAGCCTGTTTATGATCCAGCCTGTTACGGTAAAACCATTTTTTTTTTTCAACTTTGCTTATTTTTTCAAATTCAAACCAACCAAAAGTCCTCGTCCGTCCAAGCACACCCTGATAATTGGTTTTTGGAACCAGTAAATTCTAAATTATACATAGTTTATTGGGTCTGTATTGGCATTACTCTTTCTGAAGGTATATAAACATTTGTTTTGGTTGGTAAATGATGGCAAATCTATGTAGTCTAAGGTAAAAAAGGATAATATGTGTGCTTTGCCTATGACAGCTTAATCCAGCAGCTGAGTCAAGAGCAGGATCCAGATGAAGTTCGAGCTTTTCTGCATCAAGTTGGTTCGCCCGTGGCCAATTCTCCTCCAGGCATGTTTATTGCGTCTGCACTTTGAACAAACTTGCATGTTGTGTATAATAGTGATTAAATCCATTGCATGGACTAAAGTGTTCGAAATTCTTCACAGGTAGCTTGCCAAGTTTTGGCAGTCCAGTCGAGCAGACTACATTGCGCAGTTATAATCAGAGTCTGCCTAAGTTGGAAAGCCTCAGTCCTGTTGGGAGGAGTGACTTACCTGGTCTGGCTTCTATTCTTCCATCTCCTGCTTCAAATCCTGTGAAAATTACTCCAATCGGCAAAGATCCTGGAAGGACAAATCAAGTGAACCAGATGACAACAAAGGATAATGCCACACAAAGCATGCCCTTTCAGAATTATTTCTCTATTCCGGATCCTAAGTCGAGTCCTAGTCCTGGATCCACGTCAGCATTCGATTATCCCAAACCGTCTAGTGTTGGAACACTTTCTGGTCCTCAGTTTCTCTGGGGAAGCCCCACTATTCAACCTGAGGATTCCAATTCATGGTCATCCTCATTAAAGGGACGGCCTTTCCTGGGCCAGTCGATTGGTTTTCCATATCCTAGTCAGCGTGGTTCGTTTTTGGGTTCACATCATCATCATCATCATCATCATCATGTGGGGTCTGCTCCATCTGGTGTTCCAATCGAAAGGCATTTTGGTTTTTACCCCAATTCACCTGAAATGTCGTATATAAACCAGGGGGCATTTAGATTATCGAATTTATCCGGCATCAACAGTGGGACTCAGGCAGTGAATATTGGGGGTATGAACATGGGAGTTGCTTTTCATGGTAACTTTGCTGATGGTTCTTCTTCATCTGGTTCCAGGTTGATGTCTGTTTCGAGAAATGGTCCTTTGTTTATTGGGAGTGGTTCTTTTGGAAGTACCGGTAATGATGGACTTATTGATCGTGGTCGAAATAGAAGGTCAGAATTTGGAAATCAGATGGATAATAAAAAGCATTATCAACTCGATCTGGAAAAGATTGTGAATGGTGAAGATAGTAGGACTACTTTAATGATTAAAAATATCCCCAACAAGTAAGAAGTAGAAAATCCCCCTTTTTTTTGTGTGTGTGTGTGTGTGTGTTATGTGTGTGCGTTATGTGTGTGCTTGACACCTGGGGTTTCTCGTGGAGTGAGTTGAAACTTAACTATTTTTTTTTTTCTGCTTTTCTTCTCTTGGAGGTATACTTCGAAGATGCTTCTTGCAGCTATTGATGAAACTCACAAGGGTGCATATGATTTCCTCTATCTGCCAATAGATTTTAAGGTAATTTTGCGATGGACTAGAGTCGTTTGCACTATTTGATGAGGTTGAAACTGGAAAATAAATTTACTTATTTTCTACAGAATAAATGCAACGTCGGATATGCGTTCATCAATATGGTGTCTCCTTCGCACATCATCACTTTTTATGAGGTTTGTGTTTCTTTCTTAAGCAATTTATGGCGGAATTATCTGCACTACTTATTTTTGAAGCTTGATGTAAAAAAAGATGGAAACTATTAAATTATTTGTGTTGTATGCTCATCACCTGATACACATATAATCTTCATTGTGTAATAATCATTAATTTGCCTTGGGAAAATGACTTGTTCACTCTCGAATTGCCTTTGTGATCTTTTTTAGGCATTTAATGGGAAAAAATGGGAAAAATTCAATAGTGAAAAGGTTGCTTCCTTGGCATATGCGAGAATACAAGGAAAGATGGCTCTCATCTCTCACTTTCAGAATTCAAGTTTAATGAATGAAGACAAACGCTGCAGGCCTATCCTTTTCCATTCAGAGGGACAGGAGACTATTGATCTGGTATGTTATAATGATTTCAAGTTTAATGAATTACGACAAGACTCGTTATAATTAATTATTAAGGGATATTTTGTGAGTAAGTGGCCTAAAGTTATTTCGGGATGCACAGGAATCAATCCCGTCCGGAAATCTGAATATATTTATCCGTCAGCCGGATGGAACTTATTCAGGAGATTCCTTAGACAGCCCAAAGGGAGAACCGAATGCTACCGAGAGTTAAATAACGAATGTGGACATATATCTGCTAACTCTTGTACAGTTTTTGCGTATATAATAAAACGTGTCTTGCTAATAGCTCAAGCCCGACTGTACATATGATGACTCTTCTACAAGGCAGTGTCCACATCTGTATTTTCATGATGGATGCTCGTTATTCTGGGAGAATGTTAAAGATGCGGCATTATTGGGTCTGCATGTTGTACAACGGCACACCTATTTTGTGAATGTACAAAGAGAGACAAATGAGTTCGAGGCGTCTACCTATGTTACAAAACACACGTTCTCATTTTGACTTGTTCGATATAAGTTATGTATAAGAGTTGGAAATATGTATGGACACAGATAATGATGAGCCGTGCATGTTTTTTGTGTTGGGTAGTTTGGTCTTGTACTGCCATGATCTTGCAGTGATGGTACATTGACTGTATGTACAGTGGCATTGTTTGTCTTACTGCAAACGAGAAGCTGTATTTATGCAGGTTTTCAATATGGTGATCCTTCAAGTAAAATTGCCCATCTTTTGTTTCTCCTTTGTGCAATATGGGCAGAAATGACCATTTGTACAAGTTATTCTTTAATTTATTATGAATTATGATGTTCCTTTTGGGGTAGGCCACAATTGTATTAAAAAATATTATGTGTTTGATAAATGGATTTGATCAACGAGTTAAAAGTGGCTTTAACCGGATTTAAGGATACTTTGGTTAAGATGGATGTACATGTTTGTCATGGAAACGATCGAATAGAATAGAAGTGCGGAAGAATGCAAGAATGTGACGGGATAATAGTGGCCCAGGTCGGCCGACATTGTTATTGCTCGGTTGAATATTTGACTCGGTATATATTTTGAGAATTTTTATCTCGTGAGTATTTGACTCGGTATATATTTTGAGAATTTTTATCTCGTGAGTTGTGTATTTTTTTCATCCGCCTTTTTAGATTTAATACAAGAGTATTTATAGTAACTGTAGCTCGGGAACTATTCACCGGGTCCGTATAGTCCGCATTTAATTTAATACATCGTGCTACTCTATGAGTTTAAGATTGGTAGGCCGGCTAGTTGGCAGGTGAAGATGTACTTCCTCATCATGAGGCCACAAGGGACATTTATTTTATTGTTTTATGCTCGACATGTTAGCCTAGCTCTGGTGGAAGTCCTCATTGAATATGATCTCATTGCCTCTTTCGGTTCAGTTCTTTTTTGTCTGACGGCCGATCTGCACCTCCCGTTCAACTCACTGAACGCAGGCTGACTTATACTCTTTTGTGGGCCCGTTTTTCAACTCGGGGGTCAACATTATGCATCATGCATGCAATGCCTAAAAATAATATAAAACCTAACTACATAAAATACTGTTCAGTATCAGAATTGTGTGTGCCAAATTTTACAATGTGAGTTACAGGTATGCCAATAAAACTTGGAGGGTTGGGTTATTCTTGGTTACTTTACATTTTCAGATTGGGTAAACTTGAATTGACTGGGTTTAGGGTCGGGTTTGTGTATATGTTTACTACTTGAACCCTGGATTGGGTCAGGCATGAAAAAATCTACTATATGTCCCGTCTACCAACAATGCACATAAAATTAAATAAACGTTTTCATTTTATATCCAAGTAATAAAAGACTATTAGGTGAAAATAGGTGATACTTTGTTCCCCTAAAAATATTCGAATGCATTAGAAATGAAGATGACAGCTCTGATCTTGGGGTGCTTTTCTTTCTTAGCTGATAGTAACAACATTTTGGGGCATGAATTAATCCATGATTAATGTATTGGGTCAACGATGATCAACTTCGCATTTTATCCACAAAAAAGTAATCAAAAGATAACAACTGTGGAAGCTGCCAGATGCCCCCACTGCTGTCTATGGCGATGATGTAAGCTGAAATTCTGGAGTTTCATCCCTTATGGTACCTCTCTCTCTCTCTCTCTCATGGGCAGAATTCAAAGTTTCACCCCCTTTTAAAGTGGTTACTTTCTGGAATTATAGATTATGAATAGTTTCTGGTGAGTTGGATCTTTCTCTGTTTCTTTCTTGCTTCTGTATGATCATTATTGTTGTCTGTTGATATATGAGGCGGAAATATGAGGAGTTCAGGTACAGGTTTACTTTTTAATTTCTCAAATGGCAATCTGGTGTCTTCCCCAGGTGAGAATTTGGTAATTAGCACGATATCATTTAAGTGAGAGATATCAATCATAAATGCCATACTATACTCTAAAGTGCCACCTGCTCTATGTTCATCTATATTTACTTCGCATAAATTTCTCGTCAGATATTCAGCCTTGTAACTTCACTATATTTTAAGGTTTCCGGATAAGTTGTTTTTGCTTCAACAGCTGAAGGAAGAAGAATATGACCTTGGAGATCAACAGTAATCCTCCAACAATGAGCAATGTCTCGAAAAAATCAGAAAAACACAAAAATCAGCACTCCAGGGATGTCACGTTGGATAGTGAATTATGGACAGAAGGCCTAATCTGTGCTTTTGAATTCGTCAGAAGCAATAATAAGATTCCACTGTTGAAATCTCGTTCGACCAATAATCCCTCGACCTCACATTTTAGGAAGAAGAACAGCAGCAACCATGTATTTACCCTCCAAACAGATTTAGACTATTTAAACATTGATACTGCAGATGGTAATTTTCATGCCCAGGAAAGATCTTCCGGAAATGTCTGGGTACCAATTGGATGGACGAGGATTACGAAGCTTCTTACCACCGTGAAATTTGACTCTGTTTGGGCCTCTCAGCCCATTGAGATGGACGAACAAGATGATATTACAGTTGCGGATGTTGCAGCTCCCTTTTGGGAACGTCCCGTGGGGCCCACTTGGTGGTGCCATGTGGATGCAAGTCACCCTTATATCAATTCATGGTTGAGCGATGCTCGGTGGTTACATCCTGCTATCAGCGTGGCATTGCTTGATGAGAGTAAGCTGATAAGTGAACGTATGAAGCACCTACTTTATGAGGTAATCTTCTAATAGTTTCATGTAAACACCATATAATCTAAATATATCTCTTCTTCCTTCATCTGTTACATTAAGTTGGTCTTTTTGGAGGGGAAATATAGCTTATCCTTTTTTCATTTTTTAATCATTGCGTGACTGTTTCTGGGTTTTTTTCTGTTTCCTTTCTTTTTCTTTTTTCATCTTCTTCGTTTTCATTTTTTTTTCCCTTTTTTATTCCTTTTCTTCTCTTTCTTTGCCTGTTGGGTGCTGAGGATAGACAAGTGATGGGTAAGGGAAAAAGGAACCTTTTAGAAAAGCAGCCATTACATACCATCTTGAAGTTAATGATTATGAAGATATCCACAATGCCACATGTATAAGCTATTTGATACCTCCAGGACTGTTTATGGACTGGCAAAAGTATTTTCACTAAGGTATCTGTGAAACATTTTTAAAAGCATTGTTATTACAACTTGGGTTTCCCTGCGACAAAGAGTCATGAATTTGTAAATACCCAATCGATAAAATATTTGGTTCAATTACTGAAATCATGGCCTGTCAAAAAACTTAGAATCATGGGTTTACCTTGCATCAAATGTAAGGTCTTGGGTATATCAAGGAAGCTACCTAATTACACATTTTCCATTAATCTGTCTATGAAAATACTTGGAGAAGTTGATGCAAGACCTTCTGGTAAGGAAAAAGATAAAGTCAAAAGATGATAACTAATTCTTTCCTTGCCCTCTCTGCTATTACATATTTCTGTAATGTTGCTAGACTTACCTTAATGAACAGGTTCCTGTCAGAGTTGCTGGCGGGCTACTGTTTGAGCTGTTAGGGCAGTCAGTTGGCGATCCTTATGCGGAGGAAGAGGACATCCCTGTTGTTATACGGTCTTGGCAAGCACAAAACTTTTTGTTGACTGCACTGCATGTTAAAGGTTCTTCATCAAACATTAATGTGTTGGGTTGTTCAGAAGTTCAGGTTTGTCAATGCTTTGCGACATAACATAGGCAACCTTATGTCCTGTTTTTGTTATCTCAAAATTTTATTCCTAAAAATAATTCCATGTCTCGTATTTTGGGTTCTGCACAATTTAACTGCTGCTGTTGTATTAGGAACTGCTTGCAGCCGGAGGTAGTAATATGCCACGAACAAGTCATGAGGTGATAGCTCTCCTTGCCTCTCGCCTTGCCCGGTGGGATGATAGGTCAAATTAATCTCTCTCTCTCTCTCTGTAATGTAAATTGTTATTATTGTGTTGTAATATTTCATTGGGTCCTTTTTCGTGCTTTAGGAGCCGTCTTGGCCTAAATTAAACAGGTAGTTGTGTTAATTATGCAAAAGAGATTAGCGCATTCTTTTATTTATATGTGAGAAATAAATTAATTAATTAGTGAAAATTTTTCTGCATTGGCTGTGACATTAGTGAGTGATAATTTGATCATAGCATGGCATTCTCTCAAAGGTCAATTATGTGGCTGGATTTTAACTAATCAACTATCTACATCTGAGTATCTGACCTTGTAGCTATTTGTTTATCTTTTTAGATTATTTCGCAAGTACATATTTGGGGCAGCTGATGAAGTTGAGCTGAAATTCATGAACAGGCATTATTGTATTCCTTGAAAAAGTTTCCACTTTCAAAGAATTTTCGTATGTCACATAAGTACTAGTAAAAAGTAAAAACATTTCATCGTTTTCAACAGGAGAACTCAGGAGGACATCCATATGTTCTGCATAATTCTGAACCAGGAAATCAGAAGACTTTCAACGCAGGTACCAGCTCACATTGTCCTTACCAAAATAATTATTGCTACATGATGAAACTAAATTTTTGATTGCCTGTATTTGCAACTGATGATCCTTAATAATTCTGTACATCGTCTTTAAATAAATCTTTGTGGTACTTGAACTTATATTTATCATTTATTATATGCATATCTGTCTGTGAGGTATTGGTTTACTAAGAAATAGGAAGAAAAAAAAAATTGTCAAAGAGGTGTTTTTTTTTCAAAATTCAAATGATTATCTTTCTCCAGTGGGAAAAGCAGTGTCCAGAAGGTAACTGATAAAGAAAATATCAACGAAAGGTTAGCATATATATGTGGAAAGATAAAAGCTGTAGTCTCCGAATTTCATTAGCCGCCTGCCTGTTTTTATTTTACTTATTTATCCCTTCATATTTCATTAGTCTGCTAAAGCCTGCAGTCAGTTTTCCTGTTCTTACAGGTAATCAGAGTAAAATGGTGTTTACACGCAAGGGAGGAGATTGTATTCGAACTTCTCCAACATGTACGAGGTTTTGCAGCTAGGAATTTGCTAGAAGGACTGAGAAAAAGCACACGACAAATGATTCAGGAACAAGAAGCTGTCCGTGCTCGCCTGTTCACGATTCAAGATGTCATGCAGAGTACTGTCCGTGCATATTTGCAGGTGCCATAACCTTCATTACTATTCATACGCTTAGATTTTCACATGCTTGTTTGTTTTAACACAGTAACGAAAAAAATTACATCTATGTTAAAATCTCAGGATCAGAGCCTTCACGTGCAGCATAACCTTGGAGTTTTCGGAGGCTGTGGCCTTGTTCTCTCTATTATTACCGGACTCTGGGGAATAAACGTGGATGGTATACCAGGATCTAATAGATCCCCTTACGCATTCGCCTTATTTACGGGTGCCCTCTTTTTGTTAGGAGCTGTGCTGATAGCAATTGGGTTGATCTACTTGGGGCTCAAAAAGCCATTAATGGAGGAGAAGGCTGAGGTTAGAAAACTAGAGCTTCAAGAGCTTGTCAAGATGTTTCAGCAGGAGGCCGAGTCTCATGCCCAAGTCAGAAAAATGGATTCACAGTACGCAAAAGATATATTTGGTGATGGCGAGAACTTTGTTCTCATCAACTGAATTAAACTTCCCCTTGAATGAGAGGCAGAGTTCAAAGGTGCGTCTAATCAAGGTGCACTCTTAATTTTTCTTCTTTTACATATTTTCACAGTATTGTGTTACGTTGTTGTTTGTTATGATCAACTTCTCTTACTAATTGGTCGACTCAAAATTAAGATTTGTTTTGTTTCTTTCTCAAGTTTTACGCGATAGCTTGATGAAACACGAATCAGTTCAAAATGCCTTGGAATAAACTGATTTTCCCAATGCTTGTGGCACATGATTATGAAATTTGATTCAATAATATGTGATTATGCTACGGTAATAAATAACGCCGTACAACAACAACCACATAGTCTTTAGTTCCAAGCAAGTCGGGGTAGGCTAGAGATGAAACCCAAGAGAAACAATGGGGGTAATAAATAACACCGTAAACCGTTAAAAAGGTTCTGATTGCTCGAAATGCTTTACATCAAACCGGAAAAGAAACGATAAAAACAAAGTAGTTTCGAAACACAATCGACTTCTACAGATGATTGGTCAGAGGGTGGTGATTCAAAGTAGAAAAAAAAAAAAAATATCTTCAACTTCTAACCATAAAGGAGCCAAAGAGCCAAACACCGCTCGTGCCATCTATACCTATAGAAAATCAGAATCACTAACCTACAGAATTCATGAAAAATGAAAAAAATTCAAGTTAACCAACTACCCATATAACTATAAGCAGCCATTAGGAATGAGCCTTCCATAGGAAGACCCAATAACATGAGAACACTGAGCAGTCGCCCTTCTCCCAGGCCCACTGTAAACCAAAACAATGTCGATAAGCTTGATATTTCTACACGGCATAGCTCGACTGCACTGCAACTTGAGCGCAACTTTACTACTCGAAACGCCCCATATGTTTTGAAAAGTCACGTCCTTAATCTGGACAGCCGAGCTCGACCCAACCTTGGAATCACAATCTGGAGACGACGGGCAAAACTTTTGATCAATAACAATCGGATTTCTCGGATTCTCCATGACAATGTCTCGAAAAACAATGTTCGACGCCACGCTGTACCTAGACGGGGCCCACGTCTTGATTCGTACCCCGTTATCCGTCCCTATGAAGCTGCAGTTTCGTACGGTTATTCCCGTCACGTACTCGCGCTCGTGGCTGCGCCCTAAGCTCCCGACACTTATGCCGTGGCCGGGCCCACACGAGACGTCGTGTATGTCGATGTTTTGGCTTCCCGAGACCATGGATATGCAGTCGTCCCCAGTGCTGATTCGTGAGTGGGAGATGCTGACTCGAGTCGAGCTCCCGATTCTGATGCCGTCCGTGTTCGGGCTGTCGGCCGGGGCCCGCAGCCGGACCTTGCTGACGTGGACGTTGTCGCACGCGAACAGGTTGATGTGCGCGTTTTTGCTGTCCACCGACCGGATATTGTACACGCTCGAGTCTCTTACGAAGTCAAATCTCAGCGTCTTCAAAGAAATTAATAATTTAATTAATGAACAATTTAATTCAACAACAAAAGGAAAAATCGGTCGGGACTTACGGCGGGAAGAGGGAGGCACCGGGAGTTGTTGCGGCAGTCGTTGTAGGCCCACGCGGTGGGCCCTTGGCCGTCTAAAATCCCGCCGCCTTTGACGGTGAGATTGGCTACGTAACGGAAACCTATCCACGTGTCGGCGAACAGGTTTGGGCCGCCCGTACGGGCCTTGAGGGTCCCTTTGATGAGAAAGGCCATCGACCCATTGCAGTCGCCTTCAAACAGAACAGAGCCCAACAAGAATGTGCCTCGAGGGATCCAAACCCGACTCCTCCCACCATATTTACATGCGTCATTCCATGCGCTCATAAAAGCCTATTAATTACACAAATTGCTACATAA